AATTGTTGTTTTAACAATTTTCACAATTTCTAGAGGCTCTAGTTATCTATTTCGAGTCATTTGTTCTGGAAATTTGTTGCTTCAGCTTAAGAGGTAATGTTAAATTGGGCCTCTCAGATGCATTTTACAGTGAAATTATTGATACTGAAAAATTTTCGATTTCGATCCATTTTTCCCGCTTTTGAGCAACAAAATTCCCGATTTGAGCCGAAATGCATCTGGGAGGTCTATTTATGTACATGATTCAATGAGTTTTTTTAAATTCAGTATAATTTTATGGTAGAACGAGGAGGAATTTGCGCGTTTTCCCAGTTTCAGTGGATATATAGCAGGGTCTCTTCCTAACATAATTGTCGTTGCGTATGCTGCTGCAAACACACCACCAAAATGATGGCAAAGAGGTATTGTGTTGTTCAGAGACCCCATTGCTTCGACAAAAAAAGGTCAGTTTCGTAATGAAAACTATTTTCTAACCAAAGTTTCCATTTTGAGTGTAAAATATCGCGAGTTGAGAACATCATTCCAACTCATCAGATTTCTCGACCACTGGTGACAGCAGGTAGGGTTGGTTGATACTGGAAATCGATCCCTCGTCAAAAACTGTATGCATATAGAGTTGTCAATAATGTTCATATGGTGGTTTGCCTATGACCTATGACCGATTTTGTATGCAAAGTGTGACCATTTGAAGGAAATTCCAAATTTTCATATAAAAATGCAGATTTAAAACCCTACTGATGGGAAAGTTAGTGTTCTATTGTTCCTAAGCCCCATCTATTTTCATGAAACGCTTCGGTTTGAAATGACAAAACCCCATAAAGTGCCCAATTCAAGTAGCTCGCCATACAAAAGGACGATTATTCAATAAATTTTCAACTATAATACCGATTTGATACCAATGTGGTAGGAAAGTTAGAGTTTGGTTCTACGTAGGCCCCCAATTTTTTGATAAAATAATTCTATTAGGAATGATAAAAATGCCTTAGGGTACCTTCCATACAAAAGTATGATTTTTCGAGGTTTTTCATGTGCCAGGTACTCTGGGGTACATCTGAGGTGGCTGAAAATTTAATGGTATCGAATTCTATCAAAGCCCAAACTTTTGGTACTTCCAGATTTTTTTATCTTTCAGCAATCGTGCTAACAAATTTTTGCGTACTATACAGTGTACCCTGTATTACGCACCTACATTACGACCTATGAATAACGGTGTTTTTCGTGTTCCTTGGGGCCTAAAATGGATAGAAAACATGTTTTTGGGGGTCCAAAATTTTGAGGCAATCACAATACTTTTCTTCCACGACATGGTCGTGTGGAAAAGTAAAACCCAGTCAAAATCCAAATGCTTCCGCATAATGCTCACGTTTTGACATTTTCGGCTTTATCAACTGATCTTCACCAATCGTTGTAGTACACCGGTCCAAATACACTGACTGACTTGTGACTTGGAATATTTTTATTGTCATCAACAACTATATAATTGCACAAGACTTTCTCTTTTTTTGTTGTATGCTTTTTTTCATTTCGGCGAGTATTCATTTTACATTTCATGATCATAATTATGTGCTTTATTACTTAATTTGTATGCGATAAATTTGGTTTGTTATACAGAGAGTATATTCATGCGAACCAATAATCGGTGAAATGGAAAGCAACGGCAGACAAATAAAAATAAAAACCAACGCCGCGCTCAACACGAGCATTATTTGGTAATCGTGTTGAGAATTTAATCGTCATATGAGGTGCTATCTAGGGGGTAGACACAACATTTAAAACTTGAATCTTTTTAGATCTTTTCAAATCTGTAGGAATCTCAAATCTCGAGCAAATTCAAATACTTTTGAATCTCTATGAATCCTTATGAATCTTCTCAAATCAAAATGGCTGACTTGTCAAAAAGGTCAAACAAATCAGTAAGATTTTTACAAATCTTTTCAAATCCCTTCAAATCTCAATGAATCTTCAAGAATCTGAACACCTCTACACAAAATCAATTAAGTATTTTGAAAAACGAACGTATCTCAGATCTTGTGTCTATCCCCTAGGGTGCTATGAGTTGACTGGATGGCTAGCTGGTTGGTTCGAGTATGTTTGTGTTGTTGCTTCACCTGCTGCAAAATGGTGAGTAAGCTTCAGTGGGAGAATAGTGCGATTGCAATCGCATAAACCGAAACGCTTTTATTCCATTTCTTTCTGGTCTCAGTTCGACAAGTACGATGTGTTGTTGTTTCTTGTTCCGTCTGTATTGCAGCTCATACCAAACGGAACGAAATGAAGAATAAAACTTCAGCAACAAGACAGACATTATCACTTTCCTTTTCGTTGGTGTGTATTCTTGAAAGAAGAAAGAAGAAAGAAGAAAGAAAAAGAAAGGGAAAGAGAGAGAGAGAGAGAGAGAGAGAGAGAGAGAGAAAGAGACTCAGAGAAATACAATTCAACACACATTTCCAAACACTTTTCAATGCGCATATGTACAAGTATTTCTTAGTTTTTTCATGTTGATTTATTTCTTATTTTGAAAAAAACGACATCGTGTGCATTAACACAACGGAACACACAAATTAAACGATATACACCCATCATAAATGTATGAATCAAATGCTCGGTGTACACTACAATTAGTTTATATCTTTCTATCTTAATCTCTGTATTTTTTTGAGCTGTTGGATTTCCAAAACGCACAATAATCACCGACCGCTTTCCGTTGTATTTGTGTGCGTGTGTGTGTCGCTATGGAAAAACGATTACTATGGTATTGAACATTCATAGAGCTCGTAGCAGTAGAAACAGAATGCCGCAACAGCAGCAGAATCGGCAGTAGCACGTCAATGGCAACAGCAACACACGACCGAATTCATTTTCATGAACACATTCATATACAATGAAAACATGGGCCACCACACACTACATCAAAATCGAATTGAATGGGCTCTAACGTATTACGATATGTGAATTAAATCATTATGCCATTAGACATAACTCAGTTGATGTTTTGCTGCCTGCTGGACTGTACGTGAACAGCGGATAAAAGCATACTAGTGCCAAGAACAAAAATATTTGATACAAAATTTGTCAACAAATTGAAGGAAAAGAACGAAAAAAGACCATGTGATTCTTTGTTTATTCATTTTGAAATGTGTGCTCTACTTGTGTGTAATATATGGGAAATGATGATGATTTTATTTAAAATAATCTGTTAGTGCTTTTTGTTGAAATGTTTTTTTTTGAGCTGTGTTAAAATAGCCGATCGATGTGAGAGAAGATTAGAAGCATATTTGATTACAACATTTTCATTTTGTGAACACCATTCAATCAATTTGTTGACGTTATAGATTAACTGTCGTAATTTTTACATTTATGGTGATTATCGTTGAAAACCGCTGGAAATTAGTGTGTTTTGTATTTAAATCTATCTTATTGACAGTTTGAGCTTTGAGGTACTGATTTCAAATGTGAGAACACTCATAACATATGCACACACATTACGTTGATACAAGATTAAAAGTATTACAATACTTTTTAAATCAATAACATGTTATTGTTCTTTTGTTTGATATCAGAGTCTTCGGTAAGCTTTGCTTCAGGTAAACAAGTTTCGATCAGTAGGTGATTTGTGCACGAATGTTTTTTGAGCAGTGGACATTTTAAAAATTGCAAAGAGGAAACACATTTCAACAAATTGAACGAAAAACACCGACGAACATAGTTTGATTTCGCTCAGTGTATTTTTTGTGCCGTTGTGGTTTTCATGGAGACTTTTACGAAAACGAAAGAGTGTATTGAGTAGTTGAAGTTTTTGTTTTGAACGCAGTGATACGGAAAAAAAAACATTGAAAATAAAATTAAAATCCCACTATGACAATATTAACGTGTAGCATTTTTGCATTGACACTGGTCAGCACCATCAATTGTAAGTGCCTACACCTACAAATATTCTTTAATGCACATGTTTTTATTTATTTCTTGCTCGAGTATAGAGTGAACTTCAGAATAAAATCATCTTTGTTTTGTGTGTTTCACTATCGCTTGAAAAATCTATATCAATATTCAGAAATATATCGGTTGATGAGCAGAAACAAAGTGAAAAAAAAAACACTATGATTCTGGTTATTGGAGAATTGCTGCGATTACCTTGTACTGAATTGAACTTCATGTACGAAGAGCGAAGATAAAAAAGCGTTCTATTTTCAGCGAGATCGACGATAGTAGACATATATACGAACATCACAGTTCTTGTGTTGAAAAGGAACAAAAATCATTTGGATACACAAACATAGTTCAATATTTCAAGGCTTTGGTTGAGTGTTGTTGATATGGTCGCGATATCCAAAAACGAATTTAATTATACCGGCGATGAATATCGGTGTTGAAATATATACATTAGAAATTAATAGAAATATGTGAATGACACATCTAAAATACGATGTCGATGATTTCGATGTGTCATTTGCATTTACAGTGATTGATGCTCAAGGGCCAGTTGCGACGGCTCTATTTCTCGGTGAACCTGGCCTCTTCAATACAACACGAGAGGATTGTGTGTGGAAGCATGTCAATGATGGAGATCAGTGTCCAGATCCAGATATCACAATGACTCTGTTTCCACCGAAAAAACTTCATGCGAACGCAAAGGTAAATTTTAACTAATCATCAAATACAAACAAAATAATCATTCATTTCCGATCTGTCTGATCAATGATGTACGGAATAAAATATCTAAAGTCTCAAAAGACTCAAAGGCATTGAACCTTTAGCGCTTATCTCGAAGTAGTTTTGCGTTTTCATCCATATTTTTCCTTCAAAACATTCGCTTGTCTGCACTTTTTCAGGTAGACATCGCTCAACGTGATTGGTTACGAAACAGTGGCTGGGACCGCGAAAAGGAAAATGTGATTCTAATTCATGGCTACGGTGGCAGCGTTAACGCTTTGCCCATGTCTGTCTTACGAGATGGTAATTACACCTTTTTCATTGTTACGAATTAGTTGTTATAATAAGCCCATGCGTGTTTCTAATATACTTTAATCAAGTGTCTGTATGTTTGGTTTGAAAAATGAATTCAAGCCGAAAATTAAATTACAAAAGCGTTATCAATATAGACAATGTTTATTAGACACTGATTTCAAGTCAATCATAATGAATTGCAATTTAAATTGATTGAATTGCTTTTATGTTTTTCGGTTTTGTTTTGCCTCAATTTGCTATTTATTTCTTTTTTTCATCGTAACATGATGCAATTTGAATTCAAAAACTTTAACAACAAAAAAGCCTACGTGAATCATGGTGACTACAATGTGTTTATGGTGGATTGGGGAGTTCTGTGTCGGCCGCCGTGTTATGTAGCAGCTGTTAACAATCTAAAACCTGTTGCAAATTGCTTGGCGCAAGCTTTTACGTTTTTACGTAATTCTGGTATGCCGGTTCAGCAAACGCTTTGTGTTGGCCACAGCCTGGGGGCCCATGTTTGCGGTTTGATGGCAAACTATTTAGATTTTCGCATCGAACGGATTATCGGTAAGTAGTACATTCCCTTCATTATCTCTCGCTTTAATTCATATTTTACGTATTAAGAGGTGCAATTCATGTAGGTACTCAATCACTTTTTCCTTTTTGTGGCTGTAGCTCTCGATCCAGCCCGTCCATTGATATCGCCAGTCATCGGAAATCGACTAGACAGCGGCGATGCAAAATCAGTTCAAGTCATGCACACAAATGCTGGATACTATGGTGAAGGCGGACGTGTTGGACATGTGGATTTCTGTGTAAAAAATTATTATTTTTTTATTTGAAATAAAATGCATGATTGAAATTCATTTTTCGATTCATTCGGATAGATAAATGGTGGCAGACGACAACCGTATTGTTCCAGTACTTCGAGTAATTAATTGCATTTCGCAAATAGAAAAGGAAAACCAAATGACGCGTCGTTTCTTTCTCTTTTTCGGTTCCCAGATGCGAATTTGTGCAGTCACATTTGGTCCGTTTGCTATTTATCACAGAGCATCTACGATAGTTCGCTCATGAATGCGGAACCGTGCACCAGACGATGTCCAGTTGGTATTCGCAGACACAATCGATTTTTGTATCGGCAAAATGTCGGTTTCGATATTCCAATGGGTCAACACACTCCAATAAAGTAATTTTTCGTTCCACTTACCGTTCTTTTTGTCCCTCTGTTTGATTAATTTTCTCTCTATTGCTCTAAATCTCGACTCGATTTACATTTTCACTGAAATTTTATAAATTTTTTTCATCTTGCAGTGCCTACGGCTCGTATTGTCTGAAAGATAATGGAGTACCATTTTGCCCGTCAGAAAGCAATCCAGTCGGCGATGTCCGATGCTGCATCGGAGCGCAAAATCAGGACGGTGGTCTTGATGAGATCAGTTATCGTGACAATTCCATTGAAACAATGGTCGATTTAATGAAATCGCGAGACAGAACCTAAAACAATGCTTTTCCACTCCTTTCCATTCGCTCTCCAGGTGGAAAGTTTTGTGTGCTTTTTCTTCCTGTTTCTCATCAAATGAATAGCAATTTTAAGTTGCAAATGATTAGTTTAGATAGCAAATTTATTCGAATTACCATTTGATAAAAACAAATTTTAAGTACAATGACCCATATTTTTTCTCTCTCGATATGAATGATTCTTTGACAGATATAAATAACATTTTTCTGGTAGAAAAAAGTAAACAACCGATCAGACTTATTTCTATCTAATTTACGAGTATTTTAGGTAAACATATCGACAAAACTGCAACATCTTCGTGTGCCAATTTTTTCTTTAGTCCTCGAACAAAACGGCTTTTCCATAGCTGATAAGCAATATGATCCATGAGCACTAAATGGAGAATCGGAAACAAATTTAACATTTTTCTTTATTCAAAGACGATGTTGCGCAAATATGGCTTTAAGTCATTTAATGTCAAACCTCATGTTCATGCTAAGCACAATATTGTCTGGTGTATCACCAGCAATGGAGTTGTCATGAATGGCTGACTGATCGGACGGATTGAACACTTTTGCAATTTGAAACACACTCAAATGCGGACACACTTGTGTACAGCGCTTGGCTTCCATTTGATATTCATCGTTGAACAAACTCTGAGCTACAAAACACATTGCATACAAATGGCTGCACAGATTTGGATCTATGTTTTGACCAACAAGGCATTTCGAAAAGAACAAAAAAGAAATCACAAGTAAACTTATCAATAAAATTCAATCAAATCAATAAAAAGGAAAAGAATCGAATCTAATTCCCAAAACGAAACAAAGGAAATATCAAGATGTGTTCATACTTTGAGAATTTTGGCAAAACGGTTGCATATTGCCATTGTTGATGCATACATCTAAATGGCCAATCGATCCTATGTCACCGTAGTAGCCGGCATTTGTTTGAATTGTCTGTACAAAGGTTGCATCGCGCCAGCTTAATCGATCCGTATCGGAGATCAAGGGAAGTGCTGCATCTAAGCCTGAAATGTTACACAACGACACAATTATAGCAAATGTGGGAGCTCAACAAACTTGGTTCGGATAAATAATTGAAAATCATAAGAATGTTATTGTTAATTTGTATGTTGTTGGTAGTGGTGCCAACCGAAAATACTTACCAATAATTTTTTTCAGCCGGAATCCCAGGTATCGTCTTAAGAGGCCGCAGCCATGTGCACCGATACTATGACCAATGCCTATATACAATGGAATCGAAGAAAAAATATGAAAAAATGTGCGCAAAAGATACTCATCGACACCACCAAATACATACATGTGATGCTTTGCTTTTGCATGCCGGAATTCATGAAGTTTTTGAGGTAAGATGCCACACAGTTGCTAACATATTTAATGTTCTGGACGAGTGACACATAGCACGGTGCGCGGCTCACTGGTCCATAATCGATCATGAAAAAGTTGTATTCTCCACTTTGTATGAAAGCTTCTTGCATTATGAGTGTTGGTGGGCTGCCATCACCGGCAGCATACCCATGAATAAAGATGACATTCTCTTTATCCGCATTCCAATGTGGCGTATCCAACAGCCAATCAGGGCTCATTGGATCTATCTAAAACCATCATAGAAATAAATTGCATTTATTTATTTATTAATTTATAAAATAAATTTCATTCAACAAGTAGCAGTCGGTAAACCTCAAGACTAGCATTCAAAATGTTTCGCACAAAAGCTATGCATTTGAAAGGTTTGTTTTCTTTTCGCTTTTGTTGTAATTAAGCTTAAAAGTATGAAAGCTATTTGAATTGGTGTTGGAGATTAAATGTAAATCCGTTATTCGTTGACTGAAGAACGATTACATGTTAGTACAGTTAGTTTGAAAATGCATGGATTCGTTTGGTTCGAATATCACCACTTTGAAAAATTAATGTAAAAATGTAAGAAAATGATTCTTTTCAACCATTTCCTAGTTATAAAACCATATTTGAATTTTTATTCCATTTAGCCCCTAAAGAATGTGCACAATAGAAACATCTACATAAATAGCATTTATACCAAATATGTTGAAATAGATGGACAATACATACCGAATATTTCATATTCGACAGTTTTATTTAATTTCGAAGCGCCAAAGAGTGTGAGAGAAACCAAAGCCAAAACAATTCATGGCAACGAAACGATTACAACTGGTTGATTTCAATTTCAATTACACGAATCATTATAAATCGCAGTCGAATCTACTTTTTCTCAGTATGTTAGTTTTAATCGGATGGCAGGCCTTTGAAGGGCAGATTAGATTAGATGGGCGGATCTTTGATGGGCTGATTATATTTTTTTCAAATAAGTTGCAATTTGTCATTGTCACCCAATTCTGATGTGAATCTTAAAGTTATCACTTTGTCGTCTTAACGAGCAGCTTTGAGAACTAAATTTTATTTTATTTTATCATTCAAAGGTTTTAGGTTTATTTAGATCTTGACTATTCACCATCTTCTAGACTACTGGCTTATTTATATGCAGAAAATATGTCAACTTATGCTAAGGCTCCTAAGACAATAAACTTAAAGAAAATATTCTTTTTTATTGTTTCTCAAAAGCTAATTTTGATTGTGCGTTGGATTTCAATCTGAATATGTGTCGCTCGTCGCTCCATATAACTCGCGCACATTCTTACGGCAAATGAGCAACGACAACGAACAATCAGTAGCACAGGTATATTCGTTTTCGTACATGATAAAGATGCAAAAATGAGAAGATCGGTATAACTGATTACTTACCAATTCTTTGTTGGTTCCATTGGAATATAGCCAAATTCTTACATCTTTGGTACAAAGTTTACGATCTTTAAACGCATTCCGCCAAACGCAGTCTTTGTGCGTTGTATTAATATATTCGCGTAATCCGAGATACAATTGTTCGTCGATATAATTGTCCAGCAAATTCACTACAATGATAATAGAAAAAAACAGAAGAAATCGGTGTTAAATGATGGGTTTGAAAACGGTGACATCAGTACAATATATGCTAATTAACGAAATGGGCATTAACGTCATACACACTAAAGCTGTTGTCAAAACGGCGAAGTTCACACCACCGATGAAAAGAATTGGGCCGATTTTCATTTCAAATGAACAAAACACACAGAATCGTACACGTTTTGGTGAAGTGTTTTGACGAGAAAATTTTGTACAAAAAGGCCAGCGCAGAATAATACAACACACAAAATAAACTGATCGATATAAACGATACACAATCAAATAACCACACTGTAGTTGAATTTTAGTGACTTCATTGATCTCATCTGGTGTTAAAATACAAATGCAACACTTGCTTATCTATCAACAGTACAAAAAACTAAAATGTGATAAGAATTTTTTCGCCCAGTGACATGTTTGAAGGAGATCCAATTCGAGAATGATTAGAACACCAAAAAACACGACAAAGAACGACACAATTGTTCGAAAAACCACCTCACTACTGGTGTTAATGATTTTACTCTGTTTACGTGAGCTCTCAGCTTACATTCGGAACTAGGGTGATTGTGTGTTAAAAGAATTCACTCTTTTGATGTAAATTCAGTGATATGTACGCATAATTAGCAAAAACGCGCGCGCGTCATCATTACGATGCGCTTACTACTACGCTTTTATTATTGTGTCTCTGGCGTTGTGCTGGCTACGTTGTGCCACGTGCTATATGTGAATGTTTATGTTATTTTCAACATTCGCAATTGCTTTGAAATTGTGTACTGTGATTCGTTCCTTCCCATTTTTGTACTTATTGAATGCCAAGTTCTTTTGCATTACTACAAAAAAAAAATTCGTATATTCCAACACACTGAATACCCAACTGACGATCCAAATACAGAGTAAAACAAAACATGGAAAAAGAAAAAGAAGAAGAACGGCAAAAACGTCGTCAACAAATGTGTAAAAACAGTAGTATTTGGCGCACTCGATGTTTTCACGCTCCATTAAGTTTAATATATTCATACATGTTGTGAATCGACACATGAGGCGCTCGGGCATAATGCACAAATATACCTTAACCATTGCGAAAAAAAATAAAATAAAAATAACTTTTGATCAAATTAATCGATTTGAGTTATTGTTGATTGTTTAACCTTACCATTTACCATTGTAAATGGCATCGTATCAAATACACCGAATTGCGGTAAATATGCACCTGAGAAATGGAACGAGAAAAAGAAACAAAAAATGTTGTTTGTTATATTAATAATACGATATGGTTTGGAAACTCATTTCCATCATCCAAATTGGTAACGGCATCATTGAATACTATTGCGCAAGAATTTTGATTTTTAATGTTATTTTAAAGCCTCATTTACAGTCCCCGTACGAAAAAAAAAACTTGAAAATTTCAAATAAGCAACATTTTAACAAATCTTTCATACCATTCTTAGTTGAATTTATTTAAGAATCGTTTATAAACGATATAGTCGATTGAATTTTGGTTATAAATGATCAGAAGATATCAACAAATTAAGAGCCATTGGAATGAATATGCTCGAAATTAAATCTGAATCTATTTATTTAGTGGCAAAATGCATTACGTAAAATAATTATTAAAGTATTAATGACAAAATAATGTCTGTCGTATGCGAGGAAGTAGACATACGACTGTATTTTTTTTAATTTATGATTGAAAAAACATCATAATTAAAGTATAATTCATAATTTCAAAGAACCTTTGAAATCGATTACATAACACAATAAAAGTGGTAATATTGCATTTTAAAGATGGTCTTAAGCTAATAAACAATATATTCAATTCAACTGGATGTGGTTGCACCTATGTGTTTGTTCAACTATGGGTTCGTTCAAACAAACTCAAAAAAGAATACAAATAAAAAACCAAAGCTCGTGAAACGAGCAAGAGGAGCGAAATGACGAGCCCGTCTTGTTTTCACACTAATATTGTATCCGATACACAAAAGGCAAAACACAAACGGGACAATTAAACTGTAGTCGCACGTTGCGAATAAAACCCATTGAAAAAATCACCAAACAAATAAAGTAGCGTTCAGTATATTTTTGCTTCTTCTTCGGGAAGAATATTTGCGAAACGTTGACAATTGACCTTAACCACACATTCAATATACGGAAAACAATAGAAATTCTTGTTTGAAAAAGTCATAATGTGCATAAGTTGAAATGAATGAAAATGAAAATGTGTGGCGGGACACACGTGTGCAAATTGACTGGTGCTTGTTTAACTGGTTTTGATTACCCAGTCACTGTCACTATTGTCGATGATATTCTCTTTTTCTTCCACTATCTTCGGTTATTCCAATGTAAACAAACCGGGTAATATTGTGGTTCTATGTTGGATTTGAAGTACGCTTCGTTTCATCATTATAAAGACAAAGAAATATATTTGTTTTTGTGTGTTTGCATTCTCTCACGATATTCATTTAAGATTTGCCGAACTTTGGCTGGGTGTCGTTGCCGGCTTCGTTTTTTGTTTTTGTGGTCGTCGTCTATAAAAACACTTTGCACATCTTGTGCTCAATGAATTGTATTTATTTGACCAAAACGTACATTCACAACAGACACTTATAAGTATCTTATCTATTTGATATGAGATGTCACGGAAACTTGCGACTTGCAACTTACATTTTTTGAATAATGAAGTATTTAATTCGTTTATTACAAACTCGTTCTGTGCATAGAACAATTCTGACAGGCTTTTGATAGTTCTTTTGAAATCTTTCACGGTTGCTGCATCCATGTATTTGAAAAATGGTTTTTTGGATCTTTTTGATCTGTTGCGTCACATTGGTGAGCTCTTTTACCGAAGTATTTCAGCGAAGGAATACATGATGTGTAATTCTTAAAACCATGTTTTGAGTAGCGGAACGCATCTAAGCCGCCAGTGTCAAGATCTCCCATAAAACCTTTTGCAATGTTTTTTGTTTGAATCGCAATTTCACCTAATAAAAACAACACTCAACAGCAAAAAACACCCCAAGTGGAGAAGACTCTTTTTCATGGTTTTTGGGGCCGCTGAATCCGAATTTCGCCTTGGTTTTGGCTCTAGCAGCTCTAGTTTTTGAGATATAGCACAGGTGCGATTTTAGCATATTCAAGGTACTGTTGTCTCGAAAATCAACTATTTTTGTAATAATATTTTAAAATGTAATAATAGATTCTGATAGAGGACCTCAAAACCTTTCATTTAAGCTGCTATTGGTTTCAATATCTTAATTCTGTTAAAAGTTATAGCACTTTTTGTGAAAAGTTCAATCCAAAAACAAGACGTTTGAATCATTGACGTACAATAATAATCGACGAAAGCTGCATACCATATTCATCAACCACAGTTCATATAATAGTAACAGTATAACGATGGAAAAGAACAGGTGTTGCATATTATCAATCAGATAGTTATGTCATATATTCGCTAAATATTTGCAAAATATATATTCATAGAGTGTAGTTTGATGGATTGCAGAGCTGTTATAGGCACCCAATCGGTGCCGGCACTTAGATTTTGAGTGCCGCACCTAGTACAATCACAAAAAATAAATTCCGATAATTTATAATTTAATATTTTTTTCAGCAAAATAAAATCATATTATTTCTTTAAAACAATAGCAAATTAAAAATTTTTAAAAAATACTCAAGAATTATACTTTCAAAAAGAGCTCGGTGCCGCACCGATTCAAGTGCCCGCACTTTTGCAGTGCCTATAACAGCTCTGATGGATTGAAATAAGTGGTCGATCAATATTTGATTTTTTATGCGTGCGCCCAATTGAGTGTAAATCTCTCCAATGGCTTTTTTTGTTTGCTCGATTAGTTGCACTTTTTCGGGTGTCATGTTTTTCATTGATTCTTCGAATTCCTTTGCTCGTTCGGGTGGAATGTTAGTTTCATTTGAATCATCGTGTACTTTTTCGATATCTTCAATACGGTCAGAGCCATGAAACCGAACTGTCAAACTACAACGGGGACCGCGTAGTCGGTTGTCATTCGTTGCGGAACGCGCTAAAAGTATGCATAAGTACATGAGTACATATTTCAAGCATTCTGGTTAAAAAATATTTCAATTATTCATAAAAATATACCTAGTGTATTAATATGAAAACCCATTTTTAATAACATTTTAGAAACGTTTGAAAAAATACCGAAAAAGAATATGAACTTTCTTTTTTTTGCTCAGAAATTCTTTGCTAACATTTTTCTTGTTTTTGATTGACAAAATGAGGTTAAGTATCTACTGACATGTTCAATGTGTAGAACAAATTTGTGCACTCGGTGGAACAAAGTCATTGTGTGTTTAAGGAGCCACTTTATTCCTATGGCTCCTGAAACACATTTTCAAGCTCACTTTGTAGGAAGCGAACGTAAAAAATGAGAAAATTGAATTAATTGATTTCAAAATTCATTTGAACATCAGCAAATCTAAAGAAAACTTAGATAAATATGTTCATGTTGGAAACATTTTTCCAAATTTGATAATGTGGATGTGTCATCCAAATCATTCATTGCATTTAAATAGGAAATAAAGAAACAACATAATTTTACACAAATATTCATTTTCCACTTGATTTTATCATTTTTATTCACTCCATGAATAATATACGTTCACGAAAATACGTTGTCTTTTTCAAACATAGTAGTTCAAATTCAACGAGTCGTTCTACGAAGGTGCACTTAAGACTGTCTGGCGTGTATTTAATTTGTACTTTATTCTGACAGCCGCGTTGTAATTGATGATGACAGTTCGGTTTCGCCCCTCTGAATACGGTAAGCCATGAATTTATGCAACATTTTGAGGGTGCGTTTATTGTCATATTGGCTTAAGTCTTCACCGAAAATCTCATCGAATCTTGTGTTGTTAAATAGTGGATTTTTGTCTTCCAAGTGGGTGGTTTGTATTCTTTTTTCATTCTAGGTCCGGCTGACGCTGCGGAATTTACGACTGGCTTTCGGAATCTACGATTGTCCTCCATTACATCTTATATAAATATGCTTACACGACACATAATTTATTTCCTCATTAAGTAGAATTCAAATAACTTTTTATTCTTTTTCAGCATAGACGCTTCTTTTTTCGTATTTTTCTGTGAAATACTTTGATTGCTGTACAGCGTACACGGCAGCAACAGTAGTAGCAACTAAAACAGTAGCAACCGAATGACATAGACAATTACTCAGGGGGCGAATGACTACTGAATCTACTGAATGTATTGAAAAAAAAATCTCGGCACTAAAAAAATTGCTATGGTACTGAAAAGTACTGAAAATTACTGAAAACCATTTTTCAGTACTTCAGTATTGATTTATTTGTATACAAATACGTATAAATGTGTTGACTTTACACCATTGAAGTTATGCTGAGTTATATGAAATTCAAGAATGGATATAAACTCACATTTTTTGAGGAAAATTGAGCAAAATTTAGCAACTAAGGTGCCAAATTATATAAAAAAATGGGTTCAGTAAGTTTTATTTATACATAAATTATCAGAACAGCTTGTGATTGCTAGCATTTTTTTCA